CGGTGGGACAGCATACTATTTCGCAAAGCAATCGATCAACGCAGATAGAGCCGCGCGATTCGAGGCAGATCAGAAACGCAAGAGGCAGCAGGAAGCCCTGGAATATTCTGGCAGAACAGATGGTTATGCGGGGTCAGGAAGCAATGGCGGGCCAGCAAAATTGGACTCGGCCGGTTCTCCAAGCCAAGAAGTATCGACAACTGAGCCTGCGCCAACAAGACATGCACCGGCGAGCGAGGGACAGCGTGTAAGGGAAAAGAGCAAATACGAACCGTCGGAACCATTCAGATCAAAGAAAGGCGATAGGTTCAGTTAAATTGAGCGACCTCATCGTTAGATTAACGCAAATCTACTCACGACAATTTGGTTTGGTATTGGAGTTGGCGCTGGAAACTGGGTGCTCCTATGTATGTGTTATACGTTAATCTCACAAAACTCTACTCCTATCGAATTCTCGGATTATGTGAGCCCTTTGAAACATGTTGTTCCTCTTATCATTGTTGCTACAATCGAGCACACAATTTGTTCGCCGTAGACAAGAAGACAGAAAGATTCATTACCCTTCTAGTCAGTTGATGAATAAATCGGAATTCAAAAACTCGCAAAAATCGATAGAATTATATTATAGCTGCAATATGCAAAATAGTAAGTAGTGAATATCAATAAACAATAAAGAGAAGCAATTGGTATGAAGAACTTGCTGTATCAATTGATGATGAATTTATTGAAGGGTGATCAACCAGCATGTTCCCTTAGCACGCTCTAGCGAATCTGGACCTTTCGTCGCGAAGCTTCATTTCAATTTCATTGAATCATCCCACTTCAACAAGATAATCAAAATCACACCCAAATTCAACCACATTTCAGATCAATCCTCTTCCTTTAGATCCCAATAAATCTATTCACGAATGGCAAAGCTCTTACATACATATCGAGTCTGCTTCAAACAACTTTTCAACAATGGCGTCGCATCAGCTTGCCATAGCTAAAGCCTCATTCTCTGCAAGTCTCCTTCGACGCGATCCAACACCAGTCTCTAGAGAGGCCATCGCAGAGTTTCACAGCCATCTGAATAACGTCATACTACAATGCTCGTCAATAAATGTCCAGGTTTGATCATACACTCTAATGGATGTTGTTATGCGATAACTAAATCGTGCCCGAGGATAGAAATGCAAGCAATGGATATTGGAACATATTGTACAATCTGCAGCAAGATTTACAGCGCTGGGAAAATATTTAACAGTTCTTACGGCATCATTCACCAAATCCTCAAACGGCGACCCTTCAATCAAGCGTAAGCGCATGCATATACTCTACCTTCTTAACGACATCCTCTACCATTGCAAGTACCGAATCAACGATGCATCTGTTTGTGGCAAGATTCAACCTGTATTGGTTAATCTTCTAGGAAGCACCGCTTCATTCAAAGATTGTCCAAAACATCAGCAAAAGATTCAGGATCTACTAAACATATGGGAAGAGAGAGGGTATTACTCCAATGAATACATCGGAAAGCTACGCGAAGCAGTCAAGATTGCTTCAGAAGTCGGTCAGTTTACTGAAGAATTGACTGGGTCGGCAGAAAATGGAGAGCAAGGTCTTGCGCCAAAGCTGAACAAGTCCGCACCATTTGTTATGCCAGCAACGCATGGAGACACATCGATGCCTTGGTTCGATTTACCTGCTGGAAATTTGATGCCGCACATCGTTCCCAACTCAACCAGACCAATAAATCCAGATATGGTTAAACCATTACAGTTCGTTGCCGGACCTGCGGATGAGAATCTCGTGATTGCTGTGAAAGCTCTCCTGGATGATGTTCAAACGATTTTTGGTGCGGAACCTGGCCAAGACGAAAGAAGTGTATCTGATGTGGACGGACTCGGTCAGCCAATCATCCTAGATGAGATTACTGGCGAAATACTCGATGGAGAGGGGTATTATGGATGGTCAAGAGTGTTCTGTGAGAGGATGAAGAGACGCCGCAAGGGACTGGATCCATTAGGCGAACGTGGTCAACATAGTCAAAGTGAGAGCTTGAGCCCACAGAGAAAACGGCGCCATAGCGAATCAGAAGATTCAGAGAGGAGTCGCCGGCAACGACGCTCGTACAGCTCTTCGCGCTCACCATCCCCAGATCACGAAAATCGTTCCAAGTATGATGGTCGTTCCAGGTCGCCTTCAAAAGGCATGCGACAAGATCATGGCGCATCGGGTGGCAACGAGAAAAACCATTCTTCGAGCGGCTCTCCCAATCAATCTGTCGGAAACGGCAATCTACCAGTACCTGAGACTTACAATATTGCCGCAATACCTGCCCAACAGAGTGGCTTCTCCTCAAATCAGTCATACACAAATCCATCAATGCCGTACCAGCCGTACCAGCAAGGTTTCAATCAAGGATTCCCTCCAAATATCACTCAACATCAAGGTTCAATGCCGTGGCCACCGCCTCCTCCCCCAGGGCCTCCACTTTATCCAAACATGCCTTTCAACCCTGTTAATCCACAATGGCCGCCACCACCACCACCTCCTCCCATGTCTAACGTTTCTTCAAATTTTCAACAAGCCCCGGGTGGTTATCCTACTGGGCCTACGGGTTGGCAACCACCGGTACAGGGAGGTCAGGGGAGAGGCTACAACAAAGGATGGAACAATTCTTATGGTGGGCAAGGTAGGGGCGGTAGAGGAAATTATAGGGGTAGAGGAGGTTGGTCATGATTCATGAAGCCTTCACACATGATTATCATTTTATTTTCTGTTGAATGTATTGGGAGGAAATTGTGTGGTTATATGAAGCCCCCACGCATCGTCATCAAAAAGCGGAGTACCCTGCTACCAAAATAATAGCATGTAAAATTTATCTCATGGACGAAAAAAATCCTAATATTGAATGAACAGTCAGTCTCCTTGTGCACCGCATCTAACCGGTGAGTGGTCAATGCGCATGATTGTAGCCGAATTGTAAGAATGGAATGCGAGAAGTGATATGATAAAAGTCAAGTGTGACCCAGACCTAAGTCATGTTATTCAGCATCTGATATGTTACCTATTGACAGCTGATGCTTGAGAAACCTGTTTGGTCAAGCCTCAAGATAATGTATACGGGCAGCGGCGATGACCAACCCATTCTAGGACATTCGGTCTCGCTCCCGGGACAAAGATGTCGGGAGGACAAATGAAACCACAATGCCTCCGTTTTCCCTATCTATCAGCGGGGCGGCAATTGCGTTGAGAGAAAAAATCATGTCAGAGGTTTAGGTCATGGTTTTTCACGGGCATTCAACAACATCAGGTCAGGATCACCAAGTGATGGGTAGAAGTTTGTGTGGCAGTCAGAATCTTTTTAAATTCTGACGATCTTTGTCATCGGACTCGACTCGACTTTTCTTGATTTCAATGTGTGGCAATCGAGATTCATTTTTCATAGGTGGACTGTCAGCAGTAGCAGTAATGTTCATCTTGAGTTGTACAGTTCACATTCCACCAACATATACATTCGAATATGCTCGAGTATGCTGTGGTGGCTTTCGTGGTGATATATTGAGCGTCCTGAGGAGAGCGGGGATATAATCAAAATTTGCATGTCGTGATACCGTGACAAGTATTTGGTATTATTAGCTCGTCACCTCGAATAATGTGACAATATTATCTACGCCGCGATTTGACCTATCTGTAGTACTTCCCCATCTTGTGTGCGCCAGACTATGATACTTTGAGATGGGCGTACGTCTCCAATCTGTACATGGTCTATTAATACCGGGGTACTACTCCTGGTATACACCACCCACTGCAAAACATTATCCAACGGGTTTGGATTGACATGATGCTTGCGTGCGTATTGTGTGTGGTAGTGGTGGTGGTAACGTCATTCACATGATATGTGATTCTATTCATGGGAAGGAGATAGTATAGTACCTTTGTCCTGGGTCTCTCCTCAACCTTGTGATCAGCTTACTCACTTCGTATCACGTAGTTGGGTATCATGGGTATCATGATTCAAAGACTTCTTTCTCACTCATGAGATGAGCGATGATGTTCTGGCAACTTCTTGGGTGGTGAGGATGAGAAGGGCTTGGCTATCCATATCTAGAATTAGTTCCCAACATCGATGTTCCAATGAATGGGCCTCTCGCGAGTGAGTAACCTCAATTCAACCAATCATCCCACTTTAGTAGCACAATCAATGAGTGAGTGATTGAAGAGGTACCGGTACCTACCTAGGAATTGGGAAATATGGAGATTGGAGATATAATATTCGAGGTCACTAAAGCCATTTGTACGACTTCTTCCTTATCAACAACCCAAGACTCAAGGGACCAACAAGATAATGAATGGACCGGTCCCGCTCTCCGGCTCTTTACAATCCGTTCCATTTGATAATGTCCACGATGATTGAAAGAATGAGTCTTATTGTCTAAAGCAAAAGTTATCTGATGACTCGATGAGAACAAAGAGAATAGATTTTCGTCTTTCCTTCAATTTGAGATCCTATTCGTCAATTCATCTCCATTTCCCTTTTTTTTTACATTTGTCCATTCTATCTGAGCTGGCAATTGCTGCAGGAAACAGCCAATAAAGAGTTTTTTTTTCTTTCCTCCATAGGGCGCCAGTAACCTTGACAAGCCATCTTGCATATCCCGTCGCATTCTATCGCAATACCAGTACCAATCCTCGGAACACAGTTACACAAAAAGTACCCAAGGAAGACGTTGTAGAACCCACCCATCAGTACCTTACCCATATACCCTTGGGATACAACCGTCCACACACCACCACCTCACATCCCTAGCACATCTAACACATCTAACACACCTAGATCTCATACCAACTTTGTACAATCCAAAGAAAACTCTCCGCTCGGGAAAGCATCTTATAAGTCCCCGCCCCTCTACGCATGCAAGCAAGATTGGGACTTTTCTCAAACTACCAACCACATCCATACCAATCATACCTCTCATACCAACCAAACATCCAATCCAATCCAATCCCATCCACGTTTCGTTTCGTTTCGTTTCGTTTCGTTTCGTTTTTATATTGAACCGCCCCTCTTTCCTTTGGCTCGGTTTATTGCAGGAATTCTGCAGCTAAAAAAGTGCAAGAGAACCACTTCACAACAAAATTTATATCGCCCGAAGGTACCCCCACATTATCATTTGTTGCTTCGTTCGTGGCTTATGCAGGAGATAGGGCTTCCAGTTAAGCACTTTCAATACTACCCTAGAGTCCCTGAATAGCTACTATAACTACCATCTCTTTGCGAAAAGAATAAAACCCTCCACCAACCCCCCAAACAGAGAAATTCATACTTTGGGTTTTGGCCAACGTTCAGCTGAATTGAGACAAAGCTGCTGCATTTGTCTTATTGCGCGTGGAATCCCGTCGGTATAAGAGGTGGGATGCGTTTGTGGATAGATCATCTGAGTTGCTGACCTTTCTCAATTGATTCGAAGAGACTACCCTACCCCGCTGTTGATGTTTGGGAGAAAGCGCCTCCTTTGTTCCTCTCATTTTTGTCTATGAACATATTCTCTTCATTCAATTTCGAACATTGAATTCATCAACCAATTGACTTGAAGCCCCGCCAATTCAAACCAAACTTCCTCGATTGAAGACAGGTTTCTTTCCGAAATTCGAAACCTCCAAGTCTTGTTGTCTTGCTTTGGTTCTCTTGCTTCGGGTGGCTGCAAGGTACTCTAGCCTAGGAGGGTCGGCTTGCATAAATCCCTGGCATTGTACCGACGGCAGGAAAGCCGAAAACTGAAGAAACGAAAAGCATCATGAATGCTCAAATATCATTTATTGTGAGTAAACTTTTATTCAGTTCGTTATTGGAAAGTCAGCAGAGAATGGGAATTAGCATGTTATTGTCGGGTTGTCGCTTGTATAGGGGCTGGAGGATGGATACATCTGAATGGTGTCTCGATGCAAAGCTATGATGTACTTTGGTCGGGACTCACCATCACCTGTTTTCAAATTCACTTGAGATTTGAGGAGAAAGTGATTGCAATTCTCTTCCTCAAAGAATGTGAATAGCTTCGTCCCGAGGTCAGATTCGAGATTAACTTCAGACAATAAGAAAGCTCTCACATAAATATTGTTCTTGCTTTCATTCCTTCCCATCTACATCTCCTTGTCAATGTAGCTATCATGGAATTATTCAAAATCTATGATAATGACACTCCAAATAATCCACATACTCTTCAAACAATTACTAATCTATACCAGAAAGGCGAATTCAGCCTAATCCACATACCACTACCTCTATACTCTTTGCTGTTGCAGCCAATTCTGAGAGTTCTGCTACCATACAAGGAAGCAGATCCAGCATCTGAGAATGAAGATGATGAAGAAAGCTTAGTGTTTGATCAAGAACATGGTTTTCTCAATATCAGTGTAACACCAATCGAATGCTCAGTTGTCTGTCATAAGTCTTGGGCGGAAAGTGTCTTTCAACCAATTATCGATGCTTTGCCCAAAGATGAAAATAATCAGGTTCAGATATCAACGGATAGCTACATTGTCTTTTCCGTAGACAGTACTGGTACTGATGCAGGCCAAAGAGTCATGGATCTCACCTCACCTCTTGGTAAGTTCATATCGCATACTCATCCTTCCACTAACTACTTGACCCTATCCAAATACTAATATATCACAAATAGCCATGGCTGGCGTGCCCATATTTTTCATCACAACCTACTTCACAGATTTCATCCTCGTCCCCTCTAAAGACCGCCACAAAGTCGGCCAAACCCTTCTCTCCCGGGGGTTCGAATTCTCCGAAGAAGAATCCGCTTACGTGGTCCCCACCCCAACATCTCACTCCCGAGGCCCTAGTTCCAATTCCAACCCGCCATCCACTCCTCCCCCCTCCAACATCGCCGAACTCCAAGCCCGCACCTTCAAACATCTCAAGCGGAGAAATGTAAAACCGTTCGTGCAGCCCGGTCTCCACCTCATCCAGTGTTCCGGTCGCGACCGCGAGATCGAAGATCGTCCCATCTCAAACGGTAATGGAAATGGTACGCATACCTCTTCCCCTCTGGATAAACTCAACACCCGTCTCTACATCTCCATTATCTCGGCGCTGCTCCACCAACCCACTTTCCTCTCCCTCACCATCTCTCTCGAAGAAGGCTCTTCTCTCCTCCTCGACAAATCTCTCCTCCCTCTTTTTGGAAACTCGATTCAAGGAGACACGGACGGGGATCTCGTGCCGATTTTCCTGGATCTGGTGGATTTACCATTGGAAAGTACGGGCATTGTGTGTGGCGTGGCGGGGAAACTGGTCGATGAGATGCGCATGAATGATCAGCCGGAGGAAGAGGGCGGGTGTATGTTTGGAAGGGAATTATCATATTTGAGTACGGCGCGAGCGGGCGCAGTGGTGCTAAGTGGTGGGGGGAGTGAGAGGGCATTGGATATGTTGGGGGGGTTGCTAGATCGGGAGGTTGGGGGGTGAGTCCACGGTGGAGATGAGGATGGGGATAGAGGTGGAGATGGGAGGTTGTGATATATGTGTGTTCTAATCCTAATGTTGTACATGGAAGAATGGGAGAATAGAGAATGTGTGGATGGATGGATAATGGATGGGTGCATATTGACAAGGCCGGGAGAAAATTGAAAAGAAGCAAGCGAAGAAGTGCATATATACATAAGGGAGGCGAGATTTATTATTTGCCAGGTAAGGCGGGTGGCTGGTTTGCTTACTTGCTCGCTATATGATTTGAGCATGCATGTGCGATGCATAAAAGGAGTTTAGAGTTTTTTTGCTTGTTATCTGCTCTGAACTACATTTTGGGGGTGGGATGGAGTGGGGCAGAGGATAGGATTGGGTGGGATAGGATGGATAGGATAGGATAGGATACTAAAAAGTTATATGGGATGGATGAGATAGGTGTGGAATGTTAATTTAATTAATTTTGATTGATTTGATTTGATTTGGTCCTGCTGGTTTGTTTTTAGGAGGGAGGATGGGATGGGATGGGTGTTGGTGACTGTGGATGTGAAATGAGAGAGTTGGGGTGAATGGTGAATGGTGGGTGGTATGTGGTATGTGGGTATATGTAGGAAAAGAGAGGAAAAGAGAGGAAAAGAGCGGAGATGAAATGAGAAAAATAGGAGAAGACGAAAGCATATGAAACGAGATAAGACGAGAGCGAGGAAAAGCAAAAGAAATGAAAGAAAAACGAAGCTTTCCAATTGAATGCATATAGTTTTAAATAAGCAATCAAGCAACCCCCAAATATTCAACAAATTAAATCCATCTCCTGGTTAATCTCCAGCTCTCTTGATTGTGAGATCTGTGTATGTGTGTGTGATGATTCGTAGTTGAGGATAGATGGATGGGTATTGGGGATGATTATCTAGGTAGGTAGGTAGGTAGGTAGGTAGGTAGGTAGGTAGATATCAGTGGAAAGCTAGAATACAAATATGTCTCTTCTTTTCCTCTCCACTCTTGATTTTCTTCTTTCCTTTTCCGCTTGTGATTTTCATAGTATGAGATGGATACAAATATACAAATATACAAATATACAAATATACAAATATACAAATAAACAGAGACAGAAACAGACATAAATACAAACACAGAAATACAATCGATAGGTACCTATATCATCTCTAATACCCATCTATCTACCTACCTAGATAGAAACACAATATATTCGAGTCCCAGAG